TGAACTTGCAATCAGGACTAAAGAATACTTCAGAAAAATGACAAACTGTAATGAGATTTAAAGAGGCTTTACTGGAAGTTTCTAGAGGTGATGGGATTATGGGAATCCGGAAGTTTCTAGAGGTCACTGGTCTAACATAAATTTGTGGCAATGATATAGGTCATGAGTTTGAATCCTACCACTGACATTTTAAGTTAAGTTTCTGATGATTTTCTGGCCCGGGAGTGTCATTAAAACCAGATGGATCATAAAAACTCTGCGAGTGTTTAATGGTGCTGCCGGGTATTGACTGGTTATACTAGTTTATCAAAAATTTGAAAATCTACCCTGAAAGGATTTTTTCTTTTTTTCTTTTGATAGTTGTGGGTCAGAGAGAGATTGATAGCGAACCAATCAGGTAATATTTATCAAAACCTAAAGGCTGCGTTGAAAATATGTATATTACATATTTACCCTTTTTTCGGTTTATGAATACAAATACAGTAATTTTCTCTTTTCATAGTACAAAAATGTCAGAAAATACATTTTGATTTCGTAATCATTATTTTTTTAAATGTTAAACAAACGCTCGCAAACACAAACCGCAATACATAAATACCCCAATTCGACATTGTATTGCAAACAAATGGAGCCTGAGGGGGTTTTGATTGGCCAAAGCTCTTCCATTCACTTAGAATCACCACTGCATAGACTTTTCCTAATACTTACTAGGTGAGCTCCATAAACCCCTTATGGATGTTTCATTTAGGCTCAGTTTGGAAAGAGTACAAATACAAATATGTAAAATGCAAAACCTTATATTTTGTATATATTTATACTGTACATATTTGTATTTGTACTCTTTCCAAACTGGTTAAGTTGATAAACTCAGTTTGTAAGGAATAGAAATACAAAAATGTAGAGTGCAAATTCATATATTTTGTATTATTTTGTATATATTTGTATTTATACTCTTTCCAAACTGATTAGGTTGATAACACAAAACCTGTATATATATATATATAATACAAAACCTTTCACAGAGTATTTTTAAATCTTTTATTTACACTGTATATTTATATCCACACTCTTCCTAAATTAAGACTAAATTTCATTTCATTTTGTGTCACATTCCCCTCTAAGGAGGCTAGGATTTGCATTCCATTAGGAAAATTGACGGAAAATATCCGTATTCCATTAGGATGATCTTGCCCTTGTATATTTTTATTTCACATTTCAAGACTAGAAAGGGACAGAATCGTCGGACTGGGTTGAGAACATAGATCACGAGAATCTGAGTCTAAAAGCCTCGTCCCGGCCCAACCTACATACCTAGTTCTGGGCTAAGATAGGGCAAGAAATCCAATTCAAGATCAAGGTGCCTTACCCAAAACCAGCCCAACTTAATACTACAAAGGGATCAAAGCAACCTGAATTCAAGGTTTAAAATATCGATACATCCGATATATCGGTAGGGGTGTATCCGGCAAATCAGTACTGTATTTTTTTTATTTTTTTCTGAAATCGGTTCAGGGGGCAGTTTAAGGCTCCTCCACTCCCTGAACCGGTTAGACCCCCGATACATCCACTATAAGGGCATATCGGAGGGGCCCCAGAACGATATATCAGCTAATACGGACCAACACATGTTGATATTTTGAAGTTTGAACCTTGCCTGAATTCATAACAACTATTGTGGACTGTGGCACTTGTTAGTTGCTATATATTTTGGGTCTCAATTATCATCATCTGGGCTATTTTACTGCCCAATGCCCGGCCCGAGATTTTAAAAGCTCGTTGGGCCAGTTGCTCTAGACCTACAATTTTCTTTTGTTGTTGTAACCAGAGGAATTCATATGCTTATTCCTCTTGTACTACTGACACCATATGCTTTTCCCTTTTGTATTACTATATCATGATTCTGTTTCGGATGATCATCACTTCATCAGCTTGTCCTTTTAAATCCTTGGAACCACCAGACCTGTTGCAAAAGCCCCTGGATGAATCACGGGTTAGGGATCAAGTGGGTAGAAATCCAATGAACTTGTTGACTTACACAGCTTAAAGAAGACATCTTGGTTAAAAAGGAACCTATTTACCAAAATGAAATGGAGAAAGAATAAAGACAACTAAGCTCAAAATCGATTTTGTATCACATCAAGACCTGTTTGTTTTTTAGGGAAGTTGCTAGGCCAGGTAAATGTTTCGTGGGAAATATTTACTTGGATAAATGCATTTATTTATGTTCTTGTATTTTCCAGGTAAATAAGAAAATAGCTATTTTAGCCATTATTAAAAGGGGCAACTTTGTTTTATCTAAGGGGCGTTCTTTTTTTGGATTTTGTAAGAGGGGAAAGTTGATTCCCATTGACCAAGAAACCCCTTTTTTTTCAGATTTATGTGGGGGGCTAGGGAAAGTTTATTTTTCTGGGTACCACTTACCCGGGTAAGTGATACCCATCTCCTACGTGGGTAAATAACTTTCACACTTGGGAGAAGGGTGGGATTTGCCAACACTTAAATGGGAAAAAATGCCCCTTTTAATATTGGATTTTTATGGCTAAAATGGTCATTGCCTTATTTAATAGGAAATAAAAGAACATGGGTAAATGCACTTACTCGGATAAGTCTTTCCTGGGAAACACTTACCTAGGTAAATGCATTTACCCGGGTAAGTAACTTACTGAAAAGAGAACAGAGCCTAAGTATTGGCAATTTTGCCGTAGGTGGGAAAGTTATTTACCCACATGAGAGAGTAAGTGATATGCAAGGAAAATAAATTTCCCATGAACCCCACATAAATCTGAAAAAGAACACGGGTATCTTGATCAATAGGAACAAAAAAGAATGGGCCCTAAAATTAAATCTCAATAACCTTTTCTGTAATAACAACCGCTTATAAAACACAATAAATGAAGTCAGTTCAATTTAAACCAAGGTTTTAAAAATTGACCAAAACTGTAACTACTTTGGCCACCAGTTTCCAGGTTGATGGTTCAACCATCCGGTTCGAATGGATGGTTTTTGGCCAACTGAAAAAATAATTAAAAAACCCATTCCAACTGAAAAAGTAAAATATAATTAAAATAAAAAATAACCAAAAACCGTTGAATAGGTCGAATGGTTCGACCACCCAAGTCAACGAGTGCTGACCAAATCAATGGTTTTAAGCCAATGACCGGGTTGAGGGTGAAATGGAACTGGTTGCCTAGACGGTTCCCGAGCTGAATGGTCCAACCATCGGAGTCAATGGCGGTTCAAAAACACTAATTTAAACCCAAACAAAACAAGCCCTCTCCAATTCAAAATAGTAAACCAACTCTCTAAAATCTTGCTCTATGTTTTATTCTAAAAGCCACTTATCTCTTTTATGGTTTCTTCTCAAAGGTATCTATCTTTTTTCTGGTTTTTTTAATCTCTAATTTTAAAATTTAATAAAATAACTCAATGAGCAATCACTTTTAAGAGTTTTAACACTCTTCATTAAAACACTATTAAGTCTCTCCATCTCTCTCCTCTTTCCCATTAACTCTTTTAATAATTTCACATTAATTACGCCATTAACTCTCTCCTTCAATAACTCATGCCACTAATTCTCTCTCATCTCCATTACTCCATTAAATTGCACAAAAATCATTAACTTTATCTATATATCACTTCAATTTAACTATATATAAACAATTAAACTTTAATTATTAGTAAGGATTAATTATATTGGAGTAATGGAGATATTCAAGGTTATTTATTATTGCACTAAATAATCTACTTCCATTTAAAATTATAATTCATTTATATTCTCTTTGAAAATAATAAAAATTAATTAACCACAATAAAAATAAATTATTAAGTTACTTAAATGAAATAAAAATAATTATTAGTGATAAAAATATCTTTCTTAATATAATATAAGCAATTTAATTAATAAAAGGAATAAGATAAATTAAAATTGAATATCAATTTAAAATTAATATGAAACTAAGACAAAATTATGTAACAATTATTAGTTTTATAATTAAATTTTATTAATTTAAAACAAACTATTTTAAATTCCTTTTGAAAAAAGTATATTATCTAACAATTGAATTTATTAAATTTATTAATTATTAGTAACTTTAATGTCTTTGTTATCGGAAAGTCAAGGGAAATGAAGTATTTAAACTTTTTTCCCCAAAACTATAGGGGATCGAGGCCTTTATTAGGGTTAAAACGCAAAGGTGGTTTACGGAATTGTTAGAAGAGGATGCTTTTTACAATTTTACCTAAAAATAATACAAAAATAATAATAAACTAATAAAATTTAATAAAAAATCTTTTCCAAAAAATTAATAAAAAAGAATATTAAGCATAACCCCAAAAAAATAGTACAAATTTATCTAGAGAATAAGAAATTGATCACTCTCACTAAAGTGCAACTTAGATTGTAATAAGATAAATTAGGCATAACCCCAAAAAATAATACTTGAATTGAAGTTATATGGACACCATTTAATTGGAAATGCCATAGAACTCCATCTTCAATTTTGTTGATAAATAATGCCCGTGCATTGCCCAAATAAATAGGGTCCTAACTAATGATTATAGAAAGTTCAAAAAGAAAATGGTATAAATAGGGCCATGCCCAAATAAGAACTTTTAACACTTGAATAGGAGAGAATCCAGACTCTCTCTCTTCTCTCTCTCTCTGTCATCATTATGGCCATTGCCTCAGACTTTCGGAAGCTCAACCACTGCCTCTCTCTCTCTCTCTGCCATCATTATCGCCATTGCCTCAGATTTTCGGAAGCTCAACCACTACCTCTCTGGAGTCCATTTGCTTACACTTTCATCGATCAACTTAAAATATAGGGGCCAAGTTACTCCATCTTTAGACTTTAGGTTTATGTTGGTTCCACCAAAACAGATAAAAAGAAAGAAAAAAAAAAGAATTGCCATGCAGATATAAGAAGATACCAATGAATGCCTTACGATAAAGAGGGTTGGCGCTCTCTTCCTCGTAATATTTGATAATTTGAAATTTTGAATAAATCCAAACGAATATCTAATATTATATAGAGGTGGGGAGGATGATACATCCTTTTCGAACCAGTTGATGTGTATACATGGATAACATAACTAGAACATTCCCAGCTTGATTCATTAAAGCTTCCACTAATTTCGAAAAGGTAGATAATGGAAGGAAAACAAACATTTAAATAAAGTAAATTGCACCCTTTATTTACAATAAAATTGAAAACTGGCCACCATTAATACTCTCAAACCTATAAACCACATACGATGAGAAAGCCAGATGGTCCCAGATCAAGACTACCAAGAAGCAACGACGCAGACAGACAGCTAGAGCTAATAAAGCTGTTCTCTTCTGTCATGCCACCATCTCCACCTGAAAAAAGAACAAACCAGAGGCATCTCTCAGCAGTAAAAACAGAAACAAAGGCTGCCAATGCTCAAAAGATGTTTGAAGTAAAGACGAAAGAGACGGATGAGACGTGAGAGTGAGGATGCATGACAACCGGCGTGTCCACTTACCAGTAGAAGTCCCATCTCGGTCGGACTTTGGTCATCCGATTCTGGCCGTAGGGGTAGTCAGTTTCAGATCTTCTGCTGTTGCGGAACGCGCAGCAGCCAATGGAGTAGATACAGATGAGCAGCACAAGCACTACAACGTTTAGGACGGACAGTTTATGCCAATCCCTCCTCACGTCTTCCAGCACTCCGGCCTTGCACGAGTCGCACTCATAGCAGAGCAAAGTGGCCACATTGTTCCACCGATAGCAGTCCGGGTCCTGCGCCAACATGGTTGCCGTGCCATAGTTGCACGAAGTCGGGGGCTTGCAACAACCAGACTGATGAATCCAAAAATATCATACGACATAAGTTCTCTCAGTTTCTGAATAGAAAATATTGAGGGTATTATTTATGCCATTCTTGATTCTCCTTCCTGGCATCCAGATTCCAGAACCAGAATCTCAGGAAGAAAAACAAACAGGGAATAGTACTGCTGGAGTTATAAAAAATTCAAAAGAAAACAAACGAGTAGAAGAAAACACGGAAGAAAATATGGGAACTTATCACTCTATCTATGGCAACTGGAAATAAGCAAAGAAGAAGAAGAAGAAGAAGACCTGTATTGGAGAGAGGTCCCTTTCTAGATAATCAAGAGGAGTCCAATAAGCAAGCTTGGAGCAGGTTTTGGAACCCAAGAGGCAAGTCCTGATGGTCCTCCAGTAGCGAGGATCCTTAACTCGGTTTCTCAACCATGGGGAGTAATCCTGGAGCCTATATTCCTTGTAAACCCGACCAGGCACCTGCACACCTCCACCCTGGCTGGTGACGACGAATCCGAATATGGTGAAGGACAACAAGGTGGCAATGAGAAGCAACATCACAGCCAGGTACACCCAGAGAGCCCAAGCGACATTAAAGCAGGCCCCTATGAAGCCCGCCAAGGAGACTACGAGCACCACGAACCCGATAACCAGAAGCGATGTCTGTAAGAAGCTTTCGCAGCTGGTGCTGTTTCTTGCCATCCACAGCCCTCCACCGATGATGGGTATTGAACCCAGAAGCGTGAAGAGGTTCAGGAAACCGATTACAGTGTTACTGAATCGATACATCTCTCCCTATCTTCGCTCTCTGTCTCCCGGACGATCCCTCTTACTCTTCGTTTCTTCTTAAAGCTCTCTCAGTCCTCTCCTTTTTCTCTTTTTGACGGGCAATGTGATGTGCCTTCTTTTTCTCAAATATTCAAAATGCCTCGAACCCTACGCATTGTGTTTGGATACCGGCTGCCTGGGAAGTGGGAAACTGAGAATCATGAATCATCTAACCTAAGGTGATAATGTGCCGGGATTCATACATAAGATAAGGGCTGGAAATGTTCACTGAAATAGGGTATTGCAACTTGGCTCGACCATCTTCCAAAAAAAAATCTTGGGTCGACCAAATCCGAACCGAATGTGAAGTCCGATCTGTCCCTCTTTTGGAAGCTTTTCCAATATATATATTTTAATTTTACGGTCGTGCTGTGGGCAGTGGGCACTATAAAATAAAATAAAGCAAAGGATGGATTTTGATAATATGGATGAGTTGGAGAAGAAAGCAAGTATAAAAAGAAAAGAGAAGGAAGAAAAAAGTTAATGACAACTTTAGTTATCATTATCGTCTAATAAACAAGTATAGAAGGAGCTCTTACTTTAATTAAGCATAAATAATTAGTAAGGGAAACCCACGTTTGACACGCATGTAATGTAATAACAATAAAGGAAACTACGGAAAGGCGAGTGCTCACTGCACGCTGCGCAGCGATGAAGAAGAAAAAGCAGAATTTGGGCTTGAAGGGTCACACCCGGTCCAGACTAACTGACCAAGGCCCAACGGCTTTGGTCGAGGAAGGTCTTACTTTCAACTCTGAGATTCACAAAATTCACGTTGTTACTTGTCAGTAATTCAATTATTGTTACTAACAATAATTCTTTTTTTTCAAATGTATTTTTGTTTAATATGAAGAATATATAATATTAATGTATGTTAAATTCTTTTATAAAATTTATAAAAAATTATATATTTTTATTTTTATTATTTAATTTATGAGATAATAAAAATTACTTATTCGCCAAGAGGAAATGCAATTCCAATATATTGTTTGAACATTGGTTTTTAATATTGTGGTTTATTATTTATTTATAAATATGTTTTATGTTGTTTATATATAATATATATGTTATTTATTATTTATTTATAAATATGTTGTTTATATTGCATTTTTGTACTTTTATATGATGGAAATAGTTGAAAAATACTTATATTTTTTGTTTTTATTTCAACTATTATATATTCTTTTTCTTCTAATAATTTATTATTTAAAAAAATAAATAAAATCGTATCAGATTCGTATATCCGACATCTTGATCGAATTCGGATTCAAATCAATATTTATGAGATCCAATCGAATCTTTGGATCAGATAAGATTTGAATATACCCTAAATATGATATGATTTGTTTGCATCCCTACCAAACATTTGCCTACGATGACCTAGCTAATTAAATTATTGAACCATTTGATATGGTTAGTCAAGTCATATGTTAGACATTAATGCTCTTTATTTTTTATCCTAATTTTTATCCCATTTCCATCATTAATTACACTTTTTTTATATGATAAATATATAATATTATAGAATGTACCCAAAATTATCAACAAATTTATACATCATCTAGAATTTTATTTATTTTATTATTTAATAATAACATCATGTGTTGATGCATTTTGACATGGATAGTTTAACCACTAACCTACCACTTGAATGGAAAAACCATTTTTCTTTTTCAATTAATTTTAAATCATGTATTCAATTTTCATCATCAATAAAAGTAATTCTTATTTTCACATTTATTTTGTTTAATATGGTAAATATATAACAATAGAACTATATAAAAATGCTTTATACAAAGTTTATATTATATATATATATATATGTATGTATGTATATATGTATGTATATTTAATATTTACTACTTAATTATGACATCATAGATTAATCCATTTGACCCAAAATGTTAAATCATTGACCTACTTACCATCTAGATATGGAAATTGTTTCATTTTCAAATTGGTTTTAAAATTTGCATTTCATTTATATAATTGATAAAATAATTATTATTTATCATACTTATTTTTGTTTACATTATTAGTATATAATATTATAGATATGCCCAAAATTGTTTCATATATATATATATATATATATATGATGGAGGACGATTTGGCTCAACCCCATGAACCCAGGACACGTGCACATGACCTGGCTTGGTGAACAGTCCAACCTAGCAGCACGATCCCGACTCGGCACGGAGGAAGCGGCAAGTCACAGACAATCAACTCGTCGAGGGCTAATACCTCGGTGAGTCAGTCCCCCGCCTAGCTCGGAGAGCTCGGGCTCTCCCCTAAGGGACGCCAAGCTTTTACCCACCTGGGGAGGAGCACCTCGGTGCTTCGAGACAGGGACCCATCTGCCCCGAAGCACCCTAGTTGGTGGCAGCTCGGTGAGCCGCATGAGGGAAGGCAGGAAAATCTCCTGCCCGATCGCCATACCAGACAAATCTGGTGACAGCAGTACCCAGCGGTGACGGCCCCGCACGTGCCACCTCAGTCCTGCCAATAACGGCTGCGGCAGGTTGGCAGCGACGGTTATACCCGCCATGTCAGAAGCTGACAGGGAGAGATAACAGATTTCTGCTATAAGGAGTTCAGCATCAAGGGGGGGGGGATTGATCTACGATACGTGCGCTATCTCACTCTTAGTCTTCATCTTCCTCCTTGCTTCTCCTACCAAGTACTAACTTAATCATCGGAGTGTTCCCGCCGGGTAACTCCCTCCGGGAATTTCCTTCTTCTCAGGTATCTTCTAGGAGCCACGTGAGCGCCGGGTAGGAGTGACCGAATCGCGCTACATCATTTGGCATCATCTGTGGGAAACGCTTCAAAAGGCCTTTCTCTCTAAACTTTCTCAGTTTTTATCTTCCTCGATACAATCCAACGCTCATGGCTTCCTCTAGCAACGTCGGACGAAGCACGGAAATGGACAACTCCAGGGAACAACCCCAGCTTCCTACTGTCTGTATCGGACAGTTCACCGTCCCCCTCTCTACGGACGGAATCCCCAACTTGAATGTGCCTCTCATAGTGGCACCTGTCGTCGCCCCACTCCCTGCTACAGTCGTAGCGACGTTCACCGAACCTTCGGTCGTGCCCCCAGCGGCCAGCTCAAACCAACTGGAGGACTCGATGCAGTGCATGCGGGCCATGCAGGCCCAAATGCAACAGTTCCAGCAACTTCAGCTCTATCAACAACACGTACTGCACCAGGTCTCCCAGTATCAGTATCAGCAATAGTTCCTCCAGCTGCCTCAACCTCAACTTCAGCAGCCGCAGTTTCCGCCTCGGCACCCAGCCTCGCAGCAAGCTAAGTTTCGCCGCCAAGACGAGCGCCCCTCAGGCTAAGGAGAGGTCCCCCAAAACCTCCCAAAAAACCAGGCCTCCCCCTGCAGCAGACGAGAGAGACCGGCTACCCCGATCTCACCGCAGGCGGACAGGTTGGGAGGACCCCAGCTCGCCAGGTCTACGTCACCTCGGCAGTCGAAGTCTAAAACCCCGCTCCTTGAGAACCGGTTCGAGGTCCTGGCAACAGATTCCAAGCAAGACCCCTCTGTCCGCAGCCATCACCAGCAGACCGGGCTACTTCCTGCACAAACCATTCCGGACAGCGTAGAGGCGAGTAGCACGAACGCCGAGCCCACCAAGAAGCAGAGACACCGCCGCCGAGCTCGCCAATCTGTCACCCGCGACTTGCCCGAGCTCATGGGCAAAGAAGAGGTAAGCTCGGCCGAAGTCAAAGCTCCCCTCCTCTCGGTTCCATCCACCCTATCTTCCGAACTCCTGGCAGTCCCGATGCCCAAAGACTTCAAGCTTCCCCCTCTTAACAAGTATGACGGGTCGTTTGACCCAAATGATCACGTAGATGCCTTTCAGCCACAGATGCACCCGGCGCGAGCTAGTGAGTCGTGCATGTGCATGGCCTTCTCCACTACTTTTAGGGGAGCAGCCCGTACGTGGTACCGGAACTTGGCACCCGGGTCGATAAGAAGTTGGGCACAGTTCGCACAAACCTTCTCGTCCCACTTCGTTACTAGAAAGCGGTGTTCGCGAACTGAAGAAAGTCTCCTCAGCATAGTACAGAGAGGGGGAATCCATCTGAAGCTATATCAAACGGTTCAACGATGCCTGTATCCAGATACCACGCCTGGACCCGCCGTACGCCTTGCAGCAACTAAGAAGGGCGTGACACACAAAGAGTTTAAATGGCACATGGTCGTCAACCAACCAGCGACCATAACCGAGTTCCTGAAGCTTGCGGACAGGTTCATAGCCACCGAAGAGGAGATTAACCAAAAGGGCGAAGGTGCGCCCGAAAAAAGAAAGAGGGAAGGAGAGCTCTCCAGTCAAGGAGACAGCCGAAAGAAAATGGACACAGCTCGGGGGGCAAGGCCGGGTCAATTATTCCGACCTCCTGTAGCGGACCGAGCCGATTACACCCCACTGAACACGAAGAGGGCTGAAATCCTGATGGCGATCAAGGATGCCCCTGTATGTGAAGTGGCCACCCCGTCTAAGGGGGAATCCCAATGAAAGAAATAAGAATATGTATTGCAGTTTTCACAAAGATCACGGTCACAGTACCGAGAGTTGTAAAAACCTCCGCAATGAGATAGAGGAGCTCATCCGTCGCGGGTATCTAAGAAACTTTGTATAGAATAATAATAATAGTAATAAAACAGGTCAACAAGGGGAGCGCGGTAAGGATGCTCCCGAGTCCAGCAGCAGGCCGGTCGAACAACCGCAAAGGCAGCCTCCGGAGGAGAGGCCAGTCCGGGGAACCATCCACATGATAGTGGGAGGCTCTATCGTCGCGGGTTGCACTTCAGCAGCAACTCGGACTTCGGTTCGTGAAGCCACTCGGGAGGAGCAGAACCCCCCAAAACGGCCGAGGACAGAAGAGCCAATTTTCTTCACAGAAGATGATGCACGAGGAGTCCACTACCCCCACGACGACGCGCTCATAATAAAACTAAGAGTTAACGACTTTGAGGTTAGGCGTGTACTCGTCGACTCAGGCAGCTCAGCCGACATCCTCTTCAAAGCTACATTTGACCAGCTCCAGTTGCAGAGAAGCGACCTGAAGCCCGCAAACACTCCTTTTGTAGGCTTCAGCGGAGAAGAAGTTCGGCCCCTTGGAAAAATAACAGTACCTGTGGAAGTTGGCACGTGGCCTTGTGTTGTCAGGTTCAAGCACGACTTCTTGGTGGTCGCGACCCCCTCCCCCTACAATGCCATAGTAGGTCGACCGATCATCCATGTCCTACGGGCGGTGGTCTCCACTTACCATTTGGCTATGAAGTTCCCAACCGACTTCGATGTGGGAGTAGCGTGGGGCGACCAGCTCGAGTCCCGTAAGTGCTATGTCGCTGCCCTGAAGGGAAAAACCAAGGTAGCCGATAACCTCGAGCTGGAGCGGCCTATGGAGCAAGGCGAAGAATGAGCCGCGCCAACAAAAGAAACAGTCGTGGTTCCGACTTCAGTAGTGGACCCAGCCCGAACGCTTCAAATCGGCGCTTCCGTCCAAGAACCTTTACGATCCGAACTGGTAAGCTTCTTACTTCAAAATTTAGATATTTATGCATGGTCCGCGGCAGAGATGCCCGGTGTAGACCCCAAACTCATAACTCACAAGTTGAATACTGATCCTGTTGTTAGGCCCGTTAGACTGATGAAACGCAACCTAGCCCAGAGCAGTGGAAAGCGGTTGACGAGGAGGTCGAGAAGCTCCTCGCAGCTGACTTCATAAGAGAAGTCCATTACCCGAGCTGGGTAGCCAACCCAGTTCTGGTAAAGAAGGCTAACGACAAGTGGCGCATGTGCGTCGACTACACCGACCTAAACCGAGCCTGCCCGAAAGACTGCTTCCCGCTCCCCAGAATTGACCGTTTGGTGGATGCGACCTCAGGGCACGAGTTGTTGAGTTTCTTAGAYGCCTATTCGGGCTATAACCAAATCAAGATGGACCCGGCGGACGAAGAAAAGACTGCCTTCATCACGGAATTCGGCCTATACTGTTACAAGGTTATGCCCTTCGGGTTGAGAAACACAGGGGCAACCTTTCAAAGGCTTGTAAATAAGTTGTTTGCGCCGTTAATCGACAGAAAAGTAGAATGCTATGTAAACGACATGGTCGTCAAAACTCAATTCTCACATGAATTAATACAAGATTTGCATTCTGTTTTTGAAATTCTGTGTAAGTTTAATATGAGACTGAACCCAAACAAGTGTGTGTTTGGGGTGACCTCGGGCAAGTTCCTAGGATACATCGTTAACCGGCGCGGCATCGAAGCCAACCCGGATAAAATTAAGGCCATTTTAGATATGGGACCGCCCCAGAAGTTGAAGGAGGTTTAGAGGTTGAATGGTCGCATAGCCGCCTTGAGCCGCTTCATGTCTAAATCGGCGAACCACTGTCTACCGTTATTTAAGGCAATTAAGAGCAAAGGGTTCGAATGGACCCAAGATTGCCAGCTCACGTTCGACAAGCTCAAGAAATACCTCGCTAGTGTGCCGACTTTAACCCGGCCCGAGGAGGGCGATGTTTTAGAACTGTACCTCTCGCGAGCGATGAAGTGGTCAGTTTGGTACTAATAAAGGAAGTAGATCGGGTCCAATGACCCATCTATTATGTTAGTAAAGTATTGCAGGGAACAGAAACGAGATACCCGGAGATGGAAAAGCTAGCATACGCACTGATAATCGCAGCTCGGAAGCTCTGCCCGTACTTCCAAGCTCATACTATTATCGTCATCACCGACAAACCTCTGAGGTAGGTGTTGCTTAAGCCCGAGGTCTCTGGTCGGTTGACAAAGTGGGCCGTTGAGCTCAGCGAGTACGACCTCCAGTACAAGCCGCGAATTGCCATTAAGGCCCAAGCCTTAGCAGATTTCATAGCCGAATGCACATTCAACTCCGAAGTTCCCAGGCCGGTTGAGCGCAAAGCTCCCACCTCGGGTGAGCCCGAAGCTCCCGGGTCGGTCGAGTCTGAACCCCGTGAGTTAGCAACCAGTGTGGCACCTCTCCAAACCCCGATTTGGCTCAACCCCATGAACCCAGGACACGTGCACATGACCTGGCTTGGTGAACAGTCCAGCCTAGCAGCACGATCCCGACTCGGCACGGAGGAAGCGCCAAGTCATAGACAGTCAACTCGCCGAGGGCTAATACCTCGGCGAGTCAGTCCCTCGCCTAGCTCGGAGAGCCCGGGCTCTCCCCTAAGGGACGCCAAGCTTTTACCCACCTGGGAAGGAGCACCTCGGTGCTTCGAGATAGGGACCCATCTGCCCCGAAGCACCCCAGTTGGTGGCAG